AATAATAATAATAATATCTCTACTCCTCATTCTAACTACGAGAATTAGCCCAGAAGTCGGAGACTTGTGCGGGAGAGGAGGCGGCATATTATTATTACGCAGGCCGCATTTGCGCCCAGGAACGACTTATGTTGGTAGGCCCTAACCACCATTCAGTGCAGGAATGAGGGAAACCTGGAAAACCTCATTAATTAGGGGGGTGGTCAAATGCCAACCGGTGTCAATCTCTCACATTGACCCAAGCCAACATTCTTCCACCCTACCATACCTGCACAGAGGGCGCCAATCCTCCGTACAAGCATAGCTAATCTACGGTTTACCGGCCGCGGGATTCGAAACCCGGGCAGATCGACACATCGATTTAAGTACTGACGCCTTAAACCGTGCGGCTATCGACCGTGAATAAATCAAGAAAACGTATATTTTCCTAAGAATCTATTCATTTTCTATAAATATGTAGAATTCTATGAATGGTGAAATATAAATGATGTACAACATCTGAAAATGTGAAATTAACTAAAATGTTTGAATCTAACACTAAATATAACTTGCTTTGTGTGAAACATGCAATTTTGAGAGTTTGCCATTGATAACCATAAATTTTCTTTTAATTTCAGATCCCTTTGTAGTCATATCCAACCACACATGCAAGAAGATTTACTTAATGAGTGAGAGGAGATACGTTTTCAGACTGGCTAAAGATGGATCATTCGTATATTGGATGAACTTCACCAATTCTTTCATCTCCGAGGGTATAAATCATCCGAATTCTTACTGTTTCGAGCATTCCGGGGGCAAGAAAGCGAATGGCTTCTTCTTCTTTAAATGCTACCCAGAAAAACCTATCAAGGAAAAGTTTATATATACACTAGTCCCGAAAATAATGTCCTGTGTGTTCTTGTTGCTGACCATTTTGATTTACTTCATTTTGAACGAGACGAGGAGCCTCTTTGGGAAAATATTGATGAACTATTGCATATCTACGTTGATGCTTTTCTCCATTCTGACTTACGCTCAGAAGAAACTAGATACAAGCGACACCACTTGTAAACTAATAGGTAATATTAACTGTTTAATTAATTTTAAATTGTCATTACATTGAGGCTTTACAACAAGGAATTATTGTGAACTACCTTCTTGCTTATATACTTTTCATGTAATTACTTCTAAGCGGTAGTTTTTAAAAACAATTAGCCTGGTATTTTTGATTCGCTTTAATGTTCGGTAAACTGAAGTGAAATTAGGTATGTGTGAAAAGAAATATTTTCAAACTACGTGACAGGGTAGACTGCGTATAACCTTAAACCACAGTTTTAATTAGTCATGTTATTTTTTCATTAGTCTGGTGAATATAATATCAGGCTGAATGAGTAATCTTTCCCACTTAATGAAATGTTATAAACAGTTTAATAAACGTCCGAAAATTATCCAACATATCTCTTTCAAAACTTAATTTATTTTTAAATTGTAATTTGAATTCAAAATGATCAATTTTGGAAACAAGAAGTCTTAAATTAAATATTCTCAGTTTCTCCTTATGCGAACAGTATAAATTCTATGGCACATAAATATTGAATGGTGTAAGTAAGCATTCAATCGGTTCCATTTCATAGTTTAATGAGTATTGTAACAAAATCAGCATGAACTGCATTTTAACTAAGTTGCAGATAATGTGATTACTCGCTAAACGACTATAAAATATTTGCGGAATATTTGTCCAAAATTAGCGCCATTGCATCATACAGATATGAAATATGGGCATATGATGAATATGTCCTCAAATATTTCCTAAACGTATTATGCTCTGTAAATTGCCATTTTTTTGCGATCCTAGAGAAACTACGAATTCTACTCTGTGTATTGTCTTGAAGGATATTTGGCATCTGAAGATATGCTTTCGAAGGCTCGGCATGCACCTTGCACACGATACGGTAGTTGCTTACGTTCGATAAACTTTATTCCGACAAAACAACACACATATACCTACAGGGTGTATTTAAATGGAGGGGCACAATTGAAACCAGAGATTCCTTGGGTGAAAATAAGTAATTCGCTATAGTACAGTGTTTTTAAATTATAAAGTCGTACAAAAATTAACTGCTCCTAGAACCACTTGTAGTTGCAAGTTACAATGTCAACTGCAATACAACCCCAAAAAAGGGGAGTTTTCACTGTGTTCCCGACATTTTTGGCCGATAAGAATGACGGATTCGTATTCAGCACCCCAAAATTAGTAAAAAAAAAGAAGCATTGCACACTTTCGCCTGGATAGTCAGAAAATGCTATTTTTTAACATTGTTCTTTAAAACAGGAAACATAATTGTGTCTCAGTTGATTTCTGCGCCCCCTTTTGGTCGAATTTTAAAATACAGGTACATAACTAATAAGTACTGTGAGGCAATGCGTTTTGAATGTATTAACAAAAGTGTCTGTTTGTACCTTGGTATTCGTGGAGGTATAAATCCGTAACACTAATTTATGAAATTAAAAATATCTCCTCAACGATTGGCTTTATCCTTTTTCAATAAGTATACCTTTTTTGTTTAGAAAAGTCCAATATTTCATATTTTGTTACTAAAACCTTTATACGGGGGTTGGTAAAAATGTTACTACATATTCAATGCATAACGTTGCCTGCAGAGGGCGCCTAGTACTCGACACTCAAAAATCATTATTATACAGGGTGGTCCGAATTTTATGCAGGAAACTTCGAGGGCAGATAGACCTCTTTAAAATAATATGTGTTTGTCTTATAAACATAGGTCTGGAACGGCCTCGTTTTGGAGATACAGGGTGTTGAAGTTGTTAAAAAAAAATTGATTTTTTGCTTATATCTCCAGAATATATTAACCAATTTCAATAAAATTTAGTGCATATAATGTATGAAAGGTTCAACCAGTGGTGTACAACAGGACAGGAGTCACCTCCTTTTTTTACAAAAAAACCTACGCCACTGCATTTTTTACATGTCATTGTAACTGATTTATATTTTAATGCACAAAATACGTAAATAAGGTGACTTTAATTTTTTCCCTAAGATTCGCCGTTCTCAAGTTATTCATACCAATACAATCCCTTTGAGGCATACGCTTCTAATAATAATATTACAAGAATATTTGTTGATGTGTAAAAGTAAGTGCAATTTGTAAGCACATCAACAAAATTATTTACACTCCTTTCTACACCACCTGTGAGGTAGTGTGCGATATAAACAAAAAATCAATTTTTTTTAAAACCTCAACACCCTGTATCTCTAAAACGGGGCCGTTCCAGACTTATGTTTATAAGGCAAACACATATTATTTTAAAGAAATCTGTCTATCCTCGAAGTTTCCTGCATAAAATTCGGACCACCCTGTATTATTTTTCCCATGATTAAAAAATTGAAACATTTCTGACTAAAATTATAGAAATTATTAAGGAAATCATTTTTTATTTTTGCTTTGACACCCTGTATCTCTTTTATTGTGCGACTTGGGATACTTATAGGTATGTTAGGATAAATCGACTTATTTTCACCCACGGAATCTCTGGTATCATTTGTGCCCCTCCATTTAAATATACCCTGTAGATATTCTTGCCTGTCTTGTCTTTGTTTACATTTGAGAAGTGACTATATCATCTGCAAATAGCGTTATAATTTATTATTTAGTCCTTTAAGATAGTGTTTGCACTCTGTATATTGCGTGCATTTTCATATTTTATTTCGAAAAGAAATTGCGTTTATATACATTTACAGACGGTAAATTATATTTATTCAACGTAAAAATTTAGTAGATTGACAGGAAATCCATCTTCTATTATCGTTAAATTACGTCGCACATTAGTTACATAAATGTCTGGAATTGATGTATAGGAACCCTTATCTTGAGATGTCCATTATTAATGCAGTATAAAAATGTTCATAATAATTGTATTTCATTTTTCAGTACTCTCTCTTAAAACATCCAAAAAATGTTGTGTTCTCGATATTGGCGGAACTGATCAAATAACTTTATCACGTATCATAACTTGCTTTTACCGAAGATTTTTTCAAAATTTTAAAGGTATTGCAACATCGTATGTATACAGGTTAATTGTATGATATGATATGTTTACTACGATAATAAGCACGGAAAACAATGACGATTTTCTTACTAAATCAGTTGGTACGACACAGCAAAGTTCTAACATAAAATTTGAAATTATTTAATATTTATGAACGGTTTGAACTTTCAAGTTTTTATTTTAACCCTCTTCAGAATTATTAAGACATTTAGAATTTTGACCAATATTTTATTGAGAAATTTTTCATAATTTTCCATGCTTTGCAACACACTGCAACCTGAGGGGTTATTTCTTTATCTATCTACAGGGTCGGAAAGTCCCCATGGTTCATCGGCCGTTACATGAGAGCGATAAAGAGTCATAGAAATCCGTGCGACAGAGAAATATGGCTATAATGAAAGCGTCTAATAGTCACCGCCCATTTCGCCCTTCCACAAATAAGAAGTGAATCTTATTTATGGAAGGGCGAAATGGGCGGTGACTATTAGACGCTTTCATTATAGCCATCTTTCTCTATCGCACGGATTTCTATGACTTTCTTTATCGCTCTCACGTAACTGCCGATGAACCATGGGGACTTTCCGACCCTGTATATATCGTTATGACCAGTATCATAACGAATCTGGATTTCAAAACAGTTTACTATTCAATTCTCGAAAGGGAGTCTATAATTATTATCATTATACTTTAATTAATACGTGGGAACTCAGAAATGTTGTACGTTCAGAGAATGAATTTTCAGGCAGTTACCCTCTTTTGCTTACGTAAAATGTACTCCAGTGGGTGGCTATACAGGGTGACACTGAAGTTGAGAGAAACAAAAGGAAACACCAAAACTTCCAGGAAGGGTATTAATAACAATAAAACAAAACAAACAAACAAAATAACGACACAACAGGCTCGAAAAACATTATTAATTACTTTATTGACACGCGACACCGTACCGAAATTCAGGTAATGCGCGATCCATAGCAAAATTTGGAATGACTTTATCCATTATTAAATTAACCCGAGACTTTAAAACTAAAGTAGACTGCTCAATGTGAAACCCAAGGAAGAACTTCTCTTTTTCGTAGATCTCTCCTGAATTCGTCACTTCGCTGTTCTTATCTTACTGGCGGGAACTCTGCATATCGGGACGCTTTGGCATAACTATGCCATGTTAATAGTTATCTAATTGACTGATTTTACATTTATCTAAATAATTTTGAGAATTAACTTACAAACAACCCTATACCTTCCTCTTGTGACTCCGCATAGCAATACGGGACGGATTAGTCCATCTCATTTAATATATTTTTAATAGATTGGAAAATCCTCCTAAAAACCAGCTATTTGATTTATTACTTTCTTTTCCTCACAACAGTCTAACAACTTATTCTTGGAATTCCTACGTTCTTTGGAATGCATTTCGCGCGTAATTTGAAATATCGATTTTTCTCTTTATACCTGCTCAACACATGGCCCCGACAGTTTAAGTGAACTTGTTAAAAAAAATATTGCTAAATTTCTCCTAAGGACGACGCTAAACCTACTTGAGGGCCCTTAACTTTCGATAATTAGTGTTGACTGAAATCTTTTAATTTTTGGCCCATCCGTTCCGAGAACTAACAAATAAATTACTACGCGTCCCGGCTTTTGTTACAACACGATTAAATACCACCTTGTATGTATTTATATTTTCAGGTTATTCGCTGATATTTACATCTACTGTTTCCTTCGCTTGGCTGAATGTTATGTGCTGTGATATTTGGTGGACATTCGGGTGAGTTCCTTTTTTAATTACTTGATAGATGCATTTGGTGTTGTGTCGTAGATTTTCAGAGAAGTCAGTAGTTCCGCTGCATATTTTCAGATATTAAAATCAGTATTGCAGAAAATTATCAATTTGTTCAATAAAAATAACAAAACATATAGATATAATAAGTACAATGTACCTTATTGTGTATGTACCTTATTTTATATTTCAACTAAATTTATCTGATAAAGCACTACAAATTAACATTACTGAGCAGTAGGTAGGTCTAGGTACTATGGGTCCCTGGAGATTTATGTAATCGGTATCCCAAGAGCATATTAAATCGGAATGAACTCCCGATAATTAACTATTAATTAGGTCAACTCCTAACTATATCAGGTCTATTCATGGTTTACTTTCATTTTTCTATTCACTTATTTGAAGCATTGAATCCGATATGGGGTGGTACAGAAATGATGGAAAGTGACGCAATCGACAAAATAAGAGAATGGAGTTGTTAGCTAATAAAAATAAGTCTTCCAAGTCATAGTCTAATAAACTAGTAACTGTCAATCGTTGTCAAAATCACTTAAGACTTGGTTAACTTGGTCAACTTAATTAACTCAACTAGTTGGGCGATTAGGTACTTATAAATTGTGTGAAAACAATCTTATGGTCTTGAAATATTTTCTGTGTCAAGTGATACAATATATCTTGAAAACAACATTATTAACAGTTTTAATCACAGAAGTAAATAAACGATGTGCTCGTAGCTGACGTATTAATCATTGAATCCATTCTATATACTGGGTTGGGGAATAAGTAATGTCCGTTTTTTTTCAAATTCTTCGTTTTTGACTCGAAAAATTCATCCAACCAAGCTATTAATTCATTGTCGTTGTTAAAAAAACTACCGCGTAAGCAGTTTGACAAAGAGCGGAAGAAGGGAAAATCAGAAGGCGCGAAATCGGAAGAGTGAGGCGGTTGGGGCAGAACTTCACAATTCAACTCCCGAATGGCCGTTTTGGTTATATTGGCGACATGTGTTCGCACATTGTCATGTTGCAAAAGAACGTCATATTGCTGATCAGGTCTTTTTTGGTGAATAGCCGGGTGGAGTCCCCGTAGTTGTTAGACATACAGTTTTGCGTTGACGATTTGATTGTTTGGTAAGAGTTCATAATAAAGTATCCCTTCCAATCCCACCAGACGCATAACATGGCTGGAAATTTTTTTGAAATTGAACCAAATTCGATCAAATTGGGTATGCAGGGGTTTTCGGGGTCGCTGATTACAAATCCGAGATCAGATTTGCAAAATTCAAAATGATGGATCCAAGCTAACGGTCATTAAAATTCGTGAATTTTTGATTTTTTAAATTTTGACTTGAATTTAAAGTACGCGGATATTTTATTTGCAGAAAATGGGCAAACGAAGTATATTCTGTTAGAAATGCACGAATATTATTATATTCGTGAATTTCTAACAGTATTATATATTAATTCACTCTGGTATTCACTGAACTCATAATCTGATATACATAGAATAAAATAGTTACATGCTTATTATCTGACTCAAATGGTTGACCCTAAGACGTTACTGTCTAAAAAATACTTCTAAAGATTCGCAATTGAAAAATATTATAATTCCTTAATAAAACTTCCCAAATATAATTTTCAGTGTTACTATACATCCGTAAAAGAGAGAATCATTTCTCTAAAATCTATTTTAGAAACATAAGCTCCCTACAGACATAAATATACACAATCGTATCTACACAATGGTTACATCTGATGAGAAAATAACTGCATTTGTGTTGAATTCATATCAAAATATTTCCATAATTACACGATGCCTAAATATATTTTTTTATGACAAATTACGTACACGTTTACTTTTGCATAAGCAGCTGAAGTGTTTGTTTTCCTTTGAACTTAAAAAAAAATAGTAAGAGTACAGATCCTTTGTATATCAGCGGCATAGTTAACCGCAATACAATTTTGACTTCTTTTAAAAATATTTACAGTCCGACAAATGTTTTTACGATGAACCACCTACAGTATGCGAATATTGCTAATATACCTGCTATGTACTCATGCGTGACGTTCAGGAGTGAACATTTTTCGATACTAAACTAAATATTTTTTATGTAGGTATTCACAACATTAAACATAGGGATAATTACAACATTAAACATAGTTTTATCGACTAGTTTTAGGAAATTTTACATTCATTACTACACATTGAGCAGTTTGCGGTGTAAGTAATGTTTACAGCCGAGTTTACAGCTAAACGTAAATTTATGTAGATATAAGAGTGCTACCTTTTTTCTTATATTATTGCAATTGTACTTTGTGTAAGGTATTGTAAATGTATAAACAGAAACAGTGACGAAATGCAGAAGATTCAGTTCAATAACAATATCGTTTATCTGTGCTGTGCTAAAAGTTTTTAAAACAAGTAAGTAGGTTTAAATTTTAATAAACAGAAGTTTGGAATCGGAATTTCCACGTGAAACAATGTTGAACTACATATGTTTTAAATTATTACCTACATGTTAACAGTAAATATCTAAGTCTGTATTATAATTATCAAATACAACTCATACTGTACAAACGCGTTCCACCTTTAAGGTGTACACCATTGGAATGTCCTAAACTAATAGAGACACAATATTGGTTAAATTACAGGAAATAAAAATGAGAACTTAAGAATAGTAAAAAAATAAGAAGCTCGTTCCTGAAATAAATTAAAAAACTTATTTTTTCTTCTAATTTTTTTTCCATATCATGATTATTGCTAAAAGCAGTATAATGAAAGGACCAATACAGTTCATGGAAATCGGCAGTTCGAGATGTCCTGATCAAAAGTTGATACGGGTCCAAGACCCAAAAATGAATACTTATCCAGATAAGCTACATTGAAAGTGAGCGAGACCTATCGCGCTTATAAATACAGTCCTTTTTATGCAAAGCCGTATGGCTCCTCTCTCTCTCTCTGTGAGAGAGAGAAGCTTCCGTGCGTTTTCCTGTGCTACGGTTTCGTTAATAATTTTGTGTTAGAAATTGTTGAAAAGAAATTAGATTCTTGTCTGTCGAAGAAGATATGAATATATGTAGCTCGTTCTCAATGTTGATATAATTAATAAGCATTTGGTGTAAATGAGATTATCGCAAAATAATGGAGCGACAGTTTCTAACTCTAGCATTTAGTACAGAAACACGATTATTAATGTGCGAGTTGGCATGGTGCAATAGGTAAATATTCTGGTTAAAAACATTACATAAAATTATTGTTATTTGCTGTTACGTTTTGATAACTTGAAACAGCTATAACTTTATTAACTCAAATGGAACACCCTGTATTTTTTACTTTGTTGTATGCATTTCCTTTCCAGCCATATAATCATTGTTTTAGAGATATTTGCAATTTTCTATTTTTTGAATAGTTTCTCTCGTATCAGACCTGTTATCAAATTAGCAATGATCAGAAACACTCCAAAAACAATTAAAATAACTTGACATTTGTCAAGGTTAGTTGTAAATTATTGCTATGTGTGCAATAGTTTTTGCCGAATATTTAAATAAAAATGCCTGAGGATCGTTTAAATTATACTAATGAAAATTAATTCAATTCAATTTGTTAGTTATGGACAATGTGACAAAGTAATTTCAAGAACATGTAGAGAATTTGCTGCTTTGCACATTGTCTATAAATAATAAACAAATTAAAATAATTCTCATTAGTATAATTTAAATGATCTCTAGGCATTTGTATTTAATTTTTTTGTTTTTTTTTTTTTTAAAAAAAAAAAAAAAAAAATATTTTTTTTTAATGGCATTTTTAATAAAAACTATTACAGACATAACAATAATTTGACAACTAACTTGACAAATGTAAAGTTATTTTAATTGTTTGGTCGGAGTAACAAAATACAGGGTGTACCATTTAAGTTAACAACAACAACAGCAAAAATGAAACACCTAGTATTAAACGTTTTAATTTGTTGGTATACCGTAATTTAGTGTTTCCTATGCCCTTTACAGGTACCAAGAATCCACTTGATATCACGCTCCTGAAAAGAGTTACTAGCATCTCCGCAGATTCTTGCATCTGGCAAATATTTTCTTTAAAAATTAATATCTCAAAATCCATAACTCCTAAGTATAGAGATTATTTAATCTAGAGACCCTCAAATTTCACGTAGAATCCGAAAATATGATAATGTATAGGGTGTTCCATTTAAAATAAGAAAGTTAATGTCGTATTTTTGTAGCATAAAAGTACGACCAAACTTGGGTCATTCGTCAGAAAGTCAAAATACGTCATTTCCAAAAGCAAGTAAACATTTAGAACAAGTTTTCAAATTTTTCGATATACAGGGTGTATCTAAATAACACCGAAAAAATGTAAGGAGCGATTCTCTAATGAAAATTAATAGGGGTCTTCGGTATAAAATTTTTTGAAAAAAACTCATCTGAAAAGTTACGCCCCTCCAAAAATTACAAAAAAAAATGTTTTTCTTTTTTATTTTCTATGTACCTATATCAAGCTAAAGAAATCAAACTTGGTGAACATTAACTGTCAAAAAAACTACACTTTTTGAAATTTTTTCAACCTTTTTTGTACACTCTATTACACTATTTCTTATAATTTTTTTTTTCGATATAATTTTTTTCTTTTAAAAAATATGTCTAAAAAGCCCCATTTATTTAGTAATTCTTTAATCTCTTCAAGTTCTTTAGAAAAGTTATGGATTTATGAGAAAAAAAAAATTATTGCAACGCATTTTTAAAAAAATAAGCTGTTTAACGCGAGTGTACTTGGCCGAAAGAACTAGTGGCCCGTTCTTTGCAATGGAATCGATAGAAACAAATTTCAACGTCATTTATTGTTACTGTTTCTTACTCTTTCACAAGTTTTATGATTTTGTGTAGAAAATATTAGTTGATAAACCGAAATTATGGTTAACTATTCGAATTTAGAAATGGCAGATATGCATTTTACATTTACATTTTTTGGTGTTA